ATGAGACTGGAGAAAATGTCTCATTGTAATCAATCATTTCTCTTTACGTGAAGCCTTTCGCCATAAGTCGCGCTTTAAATCTTTCTATATTCCCTTGGGAGTCATATTTCGTTTTGTAGACCCATTTACAGCCTACTGTTTTGGCTCCTTTAGGAATATTTTCTAAGTCCCAAACTTTATTGGTACTCATTGATTTCAATTCATCTTCTATGGCTTTAAGCCACTTTGATGAGCGGTCGCTTCTCATGGCTTCTTCAAATGAAGTGGGATCATCCCCCATCTGACATTCTTCTGTTTCATAAACTTCATAGTCATCAGTAATATCTGATCTTCTTATTCTTTGAGACATTCTAGGTGCCTCCGACACTTGTTCCACATTGGGCTATTGTTGTTCTTCCTCATGTGCAATATTTGGTTCTATAGATTCCTCATGGATAGGTTCCTCAAGGACAGGTTCCTCATGTTCATTCATTGTCGCCACGGGAGAACTTGCAACGGGTGTTGGCACTACAGTGTCCTGCACTGTCAGTGCAACAGCAGCAGGTAGCGTGAAGAATGGTTCTTCAACCATCGGAGTGGGTACATGTACCCGCTTCTCCTGTAGGCTGATTTCTCGTGCTACCATGCTCCCCCTGATCATGTTATCCTCCAAGAACACATCGTGTCTTGTTTCTACAATCTTCGTATGTCTGTCAGGACAATAGAAGCGATATCCTTTCGATCTTTCTGGATAGCCAATAAAATGGCAGCTAACTGTCTTGGAGTCTAACTTTCCTATGTTTGGGTTAAACACTTTTGCCTCAGCCAGTCAGCCCCACACATGCAAATGGTTAAGTGAGGGTTCCCTTCCTGTCCATAATTCATACGGTGTTTTAGGCACCGATTTACTTGGTACTCGATTAAGTATGTGAATGGCGGTTTTCAGTGCCTCCATCCATTAACTAATCGGTAATGTGGAGTAACTCATCATGCTTCTTACCATATCCATTAAGGTATGGTTACATCTTTCAGCCACTCCATTCTGCTGAGGCTCCCCCGGTGTGGAGTACTGAGCAACTATGCCATTTTCCTGTAGGAACCTTGCAAATGGTCTAGGAATTTAGCCATATGGGGTATGTCGCCCATAGTACTCTCCACCTCGGTCTGATCGTACTATCTTGATTTTCTTATTGTGCTGATTTTCAACTTCAGCTTTAAATATTTTGAATTTATCCAATGCTTCCGATCTTTCTTTAATTGGATAAATATTGCCATAACGAGAGTAGTCGTCTGTGAATGTTATAAACGAGTCATAACCATCCACACTTTTCACAGGAAAATGACCACATATGTCTGTATGGATTATTTCTAAAATTCCTGTGCTTCGTTTGGCATCTTTCTTAATTTTCTTGACATACTTTCCTTTGATGCAATCAATACATTGTTCTAAATCTGAAAATTCTAAGTGCGGGAGAATTGATTCCTTAACCAATCGTTCCATTCTTCCCCTCGAAATATGGCCCAAGCGACAATGCCATAATTTCGAAGAGACAGTATCAATTCTCTTCCGCTTCTTAGTTACATCCGCAGATGGGGAATCATTCACATTCTCATCGCATACATTGTTCGCATTTTCAGCAAGAGATAATAAATAAAGCTTGTCTTGTCGGAAGGCAAGACCAACACATCTATTATTAACCAGTATCTTACACTTGCCATCACCAAAATGACAATCAATTCCATCATCATCAAGTTTCGAAACACTTATCAAATTTCTACGCAAAGAGGGAACATAAAGTACTTCTTTAAGTCTAAGTACAAAACCATTATTCAATTCTAAAGAAAAAACTCCAATGGCTTCAACATTGGCTTGTACTCCATTTGCAACTTTAATCGTTCTTTCTCCTCTTTGCAAAGTTCTCGTCCCACTTAACCCCTGTAAGAAATTTGCAACATGAGTAGTTGCACCTGAATCAACCCACCAAGTGGATATATCATAACATAAATACAAGGATTCATCTACAAATGTAATAAATTCATCACCTTTCTTTAGCAGAGATTTTAGGAAGTCTGGACAATCCCTCTTGTAGTGTCCCTTCTTGAAGCAGTGCTTGCACTGATCCTTTTCAGCTCCACCATACTGCTGATTCTCAGAATCTTGGGGTTTCTTTCCCTGTGAATTGGAGGAAGAGGCCTTATCCCACTTAAGTTTCCCTTGTGGTTTAGAATTCTTGCCATTAAAGTTCTTTCTTTTGTTATCCTTCACAAAATGAGCGGATTCACCTTGTGAGGACTTTATCCTCTCCTCTTCTTGAGCACACATTGAGATGAGTCTTTCTATGCCCCATCTTTCAGGCTGCATATTGTAGTTCACAATGAAGGTGTCATATTCTTTTGGTAAAGAAGCAAAAATCAAATGAATCAGGAAATCCTCCTCCTTCAAATTCATTTCTTTTAGCTTAGATGTCGTAGTGTTCATCTTTAAAATGTGCTCTCTTATGCTACCACCAGTGAATTTCTCATTCATAAGCTTCTTAATCAGTGAACTTGCTGTGGCCTTGGTAGACCCAGTAAACTGACTCTTGATTTTCTCAAGATATTCTTTGGCAGTAGCACATTCAGGGATTGAGCCCCTTATCTGTTCTTCTATGGTGGCTTTGGCCAGCAACAGGCACTTGCGGTTGGAGAGAGTCCATTGCCTATGTTTAAGGTCATATTTTATTTTTATTTCAGCATGATCACGCTTTCGAGCAGCGAAATCAGCGTCAGATTCATTTTCACCTCTCACCGGGTCCTCTAGCTCAGTAGGACACGGTGAGGTGATGACAAAATTGACCTCTCCCAACACAAGTTCTAATTCATACTTCTCCCGCCACACACGGTGATTGGTCCCATTGAGTGTCGGGATGTTGGCAATGTTCACAATGCATTTGCCTCCTGAAATCACACCAGAGTAAGTAAGAAACAATTATACATAAATTTCATGCTTTAACTCAACGTTGGTCAAATTAAAACTTATAATTCATCCATGCAAACATTTTACATCACCGTTGGGCATAAGTAAAATTAATGCACAATTTCTCATGGATCAAAAATTATAATATTGTTATTAACAACGTTGGTCAGAAAATAACAATATCATAATCGCATCAAAATTATCAGAAATTCATCACTTCTCTCAAAATTAAATTATCCCGTTGGTTCAAATTTAATCAAAAGAGAACGAAAATTATCATGCACAGCGGAAACATTAATAATCTTTTCATATTATTATTTTCCAGAAACACTAAAAAAATCACTGTTTTCTGAGCAAAATATCGTTGGATAAATTTTGCACAGAAAAATTGTATCAAAATCATTCAAATTCATCAAAATATGCATTAAAATTGCTCCTGGAAAATAATAAGAAAATTTTTCTTCTTTCATTTCAGCCCAAGTGCCCCAAGGCAAAAAAGCCGCTCGGCCCGATCCTCATACACAGCAGCCGCACCAGCCGCAACTGGCCTGGGCGGCAAAAAAGTGTCACACAAGCAGCAGTTCGTGCCACTTTGGGCGGCGGCGACGGCCCGAGCATCCGTGGCCGCATCTGGTCCGTTCATCATCATCGGACGGTTGTCCGTTTCCATCGCGGGATCAAAAACCGCGTCGGCTGACTCTCTTCAAACCCTAACTTCATTTCGTTCCCGGTGCTCTCTCTCTCACCGCCTCTCTCTCTTTTCTCCTCAGCGCAGCGCAGCCGCAACCGAGAGCGAGCGACGACGATCGAGCGGGCGGTGGAGCGAGCCTTGGCGCCATCGCCGGCCCCCTCGCCGGCGCGCGTGCTCCCCAACGGGTGAGCACGCCGCCGTCGAGCGGCCTGGCCGCGGCGCTTCCTTGGCCGAGCCCGGCGAGCCAGCGCCCCCTGCTCGGCTTCTTCTCCCGCGCCGGCGAAGGTTCATCCGACGCACGGCGAGGTAGATCCGTCCTCCACTTTCCCCTTTCTGATTTGAGTTGTTCTTTTCGGGTTCATCCGAATGGGAAACTAGGGTTAGAGTTAGGGTTCGTTCATATTCTTTCCGATCTGAAATTGGTTCGATTTGATTTCTTTCTTTCACCCGATTCAAAATCAAGTATCTGTTCTTCTTTCTATTTTCTTTTTCCCGATCTGTTTCTTCTCGGAACCTAGCTCTGGTACCATTGTTGGTGTTTCTTAGGACTCAAACGAGTCAAGTTCATCAGATCGGGATATTTTGCATAGGAATAGAATACATGTTCAAGATTTACATGAGAGGCAGAGAGAAGGGGAGTGAGAGGTAGCAGACCATCGAAGGTCAGTAGTGGTGGCTTACACCGGCCGGGTCTCGTTAGCGGGACGCCATCTCTGCTACCAGCGGCGATGTTCGGTGGAGAGGGAGAGTCGGTGCAGTGGCGTCCTCGGCGACGGCGTGTGCGTCGGGATGGCGTTGCCGGTGTCGGTGGTGCTTCCGTCGCTGGCAGCGTCCCTTCTCAAGATCGGGTTAGGGTTAGGATGTCGGTGAGGTGACTGGCGGCGCGGTGAACCTCGTACTGCAAGCTCCGGCCCCCACCTTTCCTTTATAGCGCTGTACGACGGAGGGCCACCAACCATATAGAGTTGGACGCCCCCGATCAAAATGCGAGAACGAGGCCAAAAAAAGCCATTAGGCCTAACTGGTGGAAGATCAAAACTAACACGGTCTTCTCTCCCCTTCAGCTTTTGTGCTCGCTGCTGCCGAACAGCCGGAAGCAATTCAATGACCTGATCCGCGGTGGTACGCTGCTGTACATCACCTCCTGCCCGGCTGCCCCCTTCTCTCTCTCCTCTCTCTCTCTTGTATTGATTCTGAACACCACAGGCACAAGGAACCCTGCCCACGTGAACAGTGAGAGCATGTTGGTACTGTGGCGAGCTGCGAGCGTCCATCCTCTGATCGATATAAGCCGGGCACCCTACCTACTGTTGCCGTCCTCATTTCAGTGGCTAGCTAGGCGACGTTCAGTCAAGCACTCAAGCTAGAGCTCTCATGGAACTCCAGCTCTACTACTCCACATCCCTGTTGCTTCTCCTCCTCCTGCTATCCTCTCCCTCCCATGGCCTGCGCTCTGCCGACGGTAAAAAAAAATAATCTTTTGCCTGCCCAAAACCTAGCCCCGCCCCTATCCCCTCATCTCTCTCTCACTCTGCCTTCGATTCGTAGATGTTTATGCGCAAGTGCGCCGCTTTCTTGATTGCAGGTACTAGAGCGCTGCATTACCAGCTCAAGGATCCGCATCCACCAAAGGTCAGTGACGTCTTCTCTTCCCTGGAGTTTCATGCTCTCTCTCGCTCGCTCGCTCGCTCGCCGCATGGTGGTACTTGTGATTTGTGAACCCAACCAACCAATTGCTTGTGCTGTTGGGCAATGTCGATTTCAGGTCGACGAGGGGGCGGCGACGGCGGTGTCGCTGATCGGGTCGAGGCCGCCGCGGTGCGACGGCAAGTGCGCGCCGTGCGGTCGGTGCGAGGCGGTGCAGGTGCCGGTGGCGCCGCGATTCGACAGCCGCGGGGGCGAGGCCGCCGACGAGCCCCGGCGCCGCGGCCGCGACGGGCTGTTGGGCAGCGTCGAGGAGAGCTACACCGACTACAAGCCTCTCAACTGGAGGTGCCGGTGCGCGGACCGGCGAGCCCTGGATCCGTGATCTGATCCCCAGCTGCTGATGATAGCATGCTGATGAGCCCATTGTGTAGCTATGTGTTTTGTGTTGCTGGATGATCGATCCATGGCCAAGATGGTTAATTGTTTGGCAAACCTTCTCATCACTATTAGCCACTGAGTAGCTAGGTTTTGGTAGTTCGGTTTCTGGCTTGGTGATCACTCTCTTCAAAACTTGCTTCTTATATTATTTATTAATTCGTGTTAGCCTAAGCTGTGCTGTGATGTAGTAATTATTTAGAGCAAGCGTCAGTACTCAGTAGCGTGGCTGGCATTAACATTTTAGTTCTTGAGAAGGGCTCCCTCCATCTAGATCAGATATTTAAGTGCAGTTTAGTCCATGTTTTAGATACCAGTTAGAAGACCTAAGATTAACTTATCATGGTTTAACAAAAACTAATAGAGGCTAATTGATGAGTAGAATTCATTAGAAAAAGGAATTTTTTAATTAGTCCATGTTTAACTATTACTCAACCACGGACTAAACTTTGGTCCGGTGTTCTTTATATTATACAAAGATGTCTCGTGCGGTATGCATGCAGAAATGTCCAGCGTTAGTTGACTATTGGTGTGCATGACGTGGTTCATATGTGTACTAGTAGCAAGTAGTAGCAACAAGCCGCCACGTATAGTAACCACCGTGAGTCAGGATATGAAATTAGCGTTTTACATCACCTCCAGTATTTTGCCACCGTGGTAGTACGGTGGTCGTAAGGTAGATTTTTTTTTTCATTTTAGCCCTCGTTTAGTTCACGAAATTTGGAATTTGGGGTTACTGTAGCACCTTCGTTTTTATTTGGCAAATAGTGTCCAAACATTGACTAATTAGGCTTAAAACGTTCGTCTCGCAATTTCCCACCAAACTGTGCAATTAGTTTTTCTTTTCGTCTATATTTAATACTCCATGTATGGGCCACAAACATTCGATGTGACAGGTATTGTAGCAACTTTTTGGACTTTAAGATCCAACTAAACAAGGCGTAGCATGCAGGGCAGTAGAATTGTTGAAAGAAAAAGGCTCTGAAATAGTAGGACAAAGCACTTTTTCAACCTTGGAGGTACGTGCATCATTGCTCGCCTGTCTTTTTTCTCTTGAAGAACCTGTACCGTAAACATTTGATACGGAGCAGGGCAGCAGATGTCCTTCGGGCTGTCCACCTGTCCGGGAATCGTCTTCGGGTGTGTTTAGATAACCAAAATTCAAACTTTGCCACTGTGTAAAAAGAAAATTATTCGTCACATTAAATTTACGGTATATGCATGGAATACTAAATGTTGACGAAATTAAAAACTAATTATACAGTTTGGTTGTACTTTGCAAGATGAACATTTTGAACCTAATTAGTCTACGATTGGATAATTATTAACAAATACAAACGAAATGCTACCGGACACTGTAGTGCCGCGCAGTGATTTTCCCACCGCCGATTCCGGGCAACTAAACCAGGCGTTCGTTCCATGGCAAGTTCAGTCACATCCATCATGGCAAAAACAGACACAGCGATCTCGTTCTCAGTAGTAGTACTAGGGCCTCGTTTACTTTGCAAAAAAGTAAACATGATAAATAGTACCACTTTTGTCTTATTTAGCAAATATTATCTAATCGTGGATCAACTAGGCTTAAAAGATTCATCTCGTAATTTCCAACTAAACTGTATAATTAGTTATTTTTTTACCTACATTTAATACTCTATACAAGCGGCTAAAAATTGATGTAATAGAAAGAGTGAAAAAACTTAAAATTTGGATAACATCTAAACAAGGCCACTAGCCATGCTTATGCATTAGGCCCTCAAAGGAAAAACGTAGGAATCCAAAAGCGTAGGAAAGAAAACATGCGTGGTCGTTTGGACAAGTTCCTTTCCTCTGGAATCGTTCCTTCGCGTACTTTTCTCCATCGCATCTCCCTCCTCAAGCGCCCCCTCCGCATCCCCCTCCCCTTGCTCCGTGGCCCCGCTCCTGGCGTCCGCACGCCACCGCGCCACCCTGCGCTTCTCCGACCCTCTCCGCACCGTCGCGTCTCCCTCCCTCAGCGCCCCCTCCGCATCCCCCTGCCCTTGCTCCGTGGCCGACCCTTGTGGCGGAGCTGCTCACCGCGCCGCCGCGGAGGCTGTCCCGGGTGGGCTGGTGGCGGATCCGCTCGCCGGCTGGCCCTGGCGGCGAAAAGAGGAGAGGGACGGCGGGCGTCTGCGCGGCACGCCTAAGTGGGGAAGGCATGGAGAAGAGGCGTGAGGAAGCGGCTCGCCGGGGTTGTAGTGGTGGTGGCGAGCGCAGTGTGTGTGGCCATGGCCCGGCCGGAGTTGCAGCCCGCAAGCAGCGTGGACCATGGCACGGCGGCAGCTGTTGCAGCGTCAGCAGTGAGAGCCGTGGTGTGCCGTCGAGCGAGCACTTTCTCTCTCCGCGAGCGAGGGACGACGGAGATTTGCCTCGGACTTCCGCCAAAACATGAGCTCGAACCGGATGTTTTCTTTCCTGTGTTCTTGTGAGCTAACGAATCCTTTCCTCTGGAATCGGTACTGTGTTTTCCTCCGTTCCCAAAGACTAGATGACGTCAGCAAAACTATAGGAATCGATTCCTACGTTTTTCCTTTGATTTTCCCGTGAGCCAAAGGGGCCCTTAGGCTTGGCAATTCTTGCTGCTATTTTCACCAGCCTCGTTGCAAATCAGAAAATGTATATGCCAAGCACCAACATTGCACAAAACAAGGCGCAAATAAGCTAAACTAAAATCAAACATGCAGAACTTGACAGTAGTCTCAGCTCTGAATTAGGCAGGCATCCAAGATTTTAAGCTTGCTCGTATACGATCGTGGATTATAAATCAGAACAGTATTTTTTCTTTCACACCAAACCAACTAACAGTAAATAATCCACAATCGTTTACGACGAAATGAACAGACTGTTAATGCTCACATGGTAATCATAATCATGGTGTGTGAGTGACTACTGCATTCTCTTCAGATGTATTGACGCGGGCGGAGACGAATCTTTGGCTTGCATAGTTCCTCCCCTAAAGTCAGTCCCTGACACATGTACGGAGTATTAAATATAGACTAAAAAATAATTAATTATATAGATTACGACTAATTTACGAGATGAATTTTTTAAATCTAATTAGGATATGATTTGACAATGTTGTGCTACAGTAAATCCACAATAAACATGTGCTACTTGCAGATTAATTAAACTTAATAGATTTATTTCGTGGATTCATAAGGACGTCTGTAATTTGTTTTATAACACTTTCATGTGATACTCGCTGTATCACCTCTAAACTTTAGACCTGGATTTAAACACCATTTTTTTTTTTGCTTGCCCACCTGGGCAAAAGAAAGGGACACTGCTGAGCCACCATGAATTCTCACTCGAGTCAACAAGTCAGCTCTCGGCTCCTACTCCTATAGTTGCTAGCAAGAGGTCATGTCACTTCCGAGCCTCCCTCGGCACTCAGCACAGCAGCGGGCAGTCGGCGTGGAGTTGAAGCTGCTGTCTCCTTTGGGATTCCTTTGTCCCCTCCGTTTCACTTTGCACAAGCAGAGCATACAGGACATTTATGCCAGACCATTGATCACGAGAAAGAGGAACGGTTGCCGTAATCAAAACCAGACGACAGTCATGAGAGATATTGCCTCAAGTTTACTGCCTCCGCGCAAAAAGAAATGCAGTTCTAAATGCACCTTTTTTTTTGGTTGAAGTAAAGTTTAACTAAGGAGTGTTTGATCCGGTGACTAAAATTTAGGAGGTGTTATGTGAAGGTGTCCCATGAGGTGTTCGGATACTAATAAAAAAATAAATTACAGAATCCGTCGGTACACCAAACAAATTTATTAAGCTTAATTAATCCGGCATTACCATATATTTACTGTAGCACTACATTTTCAAATCATGGATTAATTAGGCTAAAAGATTCGTCTCGCAAATTAGTCGCAAGCTGTGCAATTAGTTTTGTAATTAGTCTATATTTAATACTCCATGCATGTGTCTAAACATCCGATGGGACAGCGACTAAAGTTTAGGAGGAGAAATCAAACATCCCCTAAATATACAATACAAGTAAAAATATTAACATTTATGACACCAAATAAACATATTATAAAAATATGTCATGAAAATTCTTTTTTCTCGAATACGCAAACGATTTGCGTATCATTGTATTAAGTAGAAGAGTTTAAACAAACATACAACGCGCTTCTATCGAGCGCCGAAGGAGGTTGACCTAACATGGTCGTAGCTCGACCATCCTAGCAACAGACCTCTTGATTCAATATTACATAAAATTAAACAACCAATACCGACGCAGCGGTGCGACCTAGGAGGTGGCCTTGCGTCTTCGCGGTTGCCTGGACGAGCCCTTTTCAGCGGCCGGGAAGAGCGCGTCCAGCGCTTCGGCCTCGGACGTAGTCAGGTTGCCATCGAAGAGCTTGTCAAAGGTCTCCAGCTCCGACGCGGATGATGCTGATGGACCCTTGGTGTAGCCCATACGCTGCATGATCAGCACCTCGCCTCGCTTGGAAACAGGTACTCAGGGGAGGCTCTAAGCCGCCAACCGTCTGCACCGCCACGGCAACACCGGCTTGGTAGGAGGCTCACGAATCAGCGGAGAGGCCCTCTTACGCGTCACTTTGTTGATGAAGCCGTCGAGGCAGCGTTTGGCGGAGTCGCCGTTTTCCACAGTCTGATGGGTATCCACCGACGGTGAACTGGGAAGGCCAGCATCCACCGTGGGGTCGACTGGTCCAAAGCCTGGAGGGTAGCTGTGCCCCGTGAGTGTCTTCGGCGAGTCCCCTGCCCACTGAATGGGGCGTTGGGCTGGTGTTCGCAACTCACAGGAGACCACCTCTGGGTCCTCATCCTCCAGCTGGGGGGCCGCCACCGCCGGGGCCTCATCCTGTAGCTAGGGGGGCACCGAAGGCGACAACATGCGCTCAAGGGAAGGCCACAGAACGATCCGACTGTCGACGAGCGAGGCTACGATGTAACACCCTC